TGCAGCTAGATGAGATAGGATATAGGTTAATAGATTATATTGTTATCATTATTGTTGTTCTGGTGTTTAATATGTTCATTTTTATTGATATGTACTAGTTTATCCACATCCGCTGTGATTTCAAAGATAACCTTTAGGACCCTTAACTTGCTCTTTCAATACAAGATTTTATCCCTTTGTTATTCTTTGCCAAGGCGAACAATTGATACATCTGGAATTAACTATCTTAACACGTACAATCAATGGAATCTTCTGTGGAAAGAAAACGGTCTCATATGATATGTAAACCCATAATGGATCGTTCTGTATGAATAATAGTTATATTACAATTAAGGATTTTGCAATATTTCCATGTGCTTCTTAAAAGTGACATATTCAAAATCTCCTATTAGGTGTTTAATAGTCACCTTCGGAAAATATTCACCAAAAAAGTAAGGTCAACTCCTCAAAAATGGCTTCCGCATGCAGAATGGCTGTATGATTTTTTTTTTTTTTGAGAATTAAAAAAAAGGTCAATGTAGCCTATAGACCCCCTCCTCCGGGCGCTATTTAATTCCAAAATTAACATATTATGGCTCATTTTGTAGAAAAATAAAATATCTAAAACTTGTTCGAGAGCGTTTTTGCAATTTTTGCCTGTGCTTCTTGTAAAAGTGGTCAATATAAGGACACTCACATTGGACGACATGCCACACACGAGGAAGTCGGAACGAGAGAGGAAAAGGATGTCGGCCATGAGGTACTTCATGTTGTCCACGCTCCCCCTTCGTCCCAAGCTGGCTGACGCTACGCTGTCTTCGTTGAATACAAACTTATAGTTGGGGAATCTGGAAAAGGAGGTTAGATCGTTAGACTGATCGTGATCAGGGTCGCGATACAGCCAACATCCAGGCTAAATTGAGACAAATCCTCGAAATACTCAGCGTTCACATACCCCGACACGAGGCGTGTGTATGTGTGTCTCTTGGTTTGCACACACACACACACGCTCAAATACACATATATAGGCTATGTGTGTGTACAACCGGAAACATTTCGGTTGAATATACAATTGACCCCAAACTCTCCCCCAAGTAAAGGGACACACTGACTTCTTCGCTTCCTGGAGGACACCCGGTCGTCTGTGCCAAGTAGATCCTGCGAGTCGTCACATTCGTCCCTCGAACCTCCAGGTCGTCGAAAAAATCGTCCACGACCTCCATGTATTCTCCCAGTCTATGAATCTGGAGTCGTGGCGCGCAGCTTGTCTGTTCTTCTGCGAACTTGTTAAATCTCCTGCAAGTGCCAGCAGTAAAGATGGTGACCGCGGGTGTAAAAGTACCAATAAAATAGACTAGAATATATACAACACGTTCTTGAGGAGACACCTCTGTCATTTTCTTGTCCTCTTTGTTCTCTTCTTTTTCTCTTCCTCTTTTCTCCCTTTCGTTCTCTTTCCTCATTCTTCTCATTTCCTTCTAGTCAAGAATCATCTTAATGATCTCAATTGGGATTCTGGATGAATCACATATCTCGATTATATTAATTATTCTTTACTGTTGATGAATTAGCTAATATGAATGTCCTACTCGCACCAATAATGTAACGATGATAATAATTAATGTTATATGACTAGATATTAAGGATGATAGGAGTCAAGAGAGTGATCTATATAATAATTTTAAGGCACACAGAGGGATTTCAGAGATAACAGTGACAGCTACATCTTTAGATTACATCATTTACTACAAATGTGATAAACTTGAATTCAAGCGATAAAACTATAATGCTACTGTACGCGCAAAATATGGCGTCCAATCACTAATGATGCTCTTTTAATTCAGAATATAATAACACTTGGTAATTCATAATCAGCCACTATACATTATACTCACAGGATGCGTGTGTGTAATATATTATACTTGTCTATATATCATATTATATCTCTTATCATTATATTCATATTTTCCTATATAATAATTATCTATCCTATGCTCTTTTTAGTTATTAACTACTCTATTACTTTTTCTTCTAAATACTCATATTTATCACCTCCTTCTCTATATACAATACCATAGTATTATTTGCATGTCTATTCTCTTTTCTACATTACTACTTATATTTTTATATTACCACCACATATATATATATAATTATTTAACTACTATCATATTATCTAACTTTATTATATCTACTATAATATTATTATCTAAATTTGTGTTTTCCAATATATACTATTATTATTAAGATTCTCTCTGTTTATATATATCACTATAATCTATCACTCTATATATCATCTCTATTATTATTACTCCTGCTGTGTGTGTTGTGGCTGTGTCGGTGTGGTGTGTGTGGTGCGTGTGTGTGTGGTGTGTGTGTGTGTGTTGGTGTATGGTGGTGTGTTGTGTGTATTACATATATTATATTTGTATATATATACCCTCTTTCCCATACACCATCACGATCTATACACTTCATTACACACGAACACCGTAATGTATATATGTTGGAGTGGTGTGTATGTATTTTACAACACCCACATTAAACACAATCCCCACGTATTTCCCGAACATGCTAATTCTTTCCTCCAGTTCGCGTCGACAGCAACGTCGTCCGGCCTGAACTCTTACTTCCCTTGCTCGCTAATCTTTGACGAATCTTTCCACTCAGTGACGAGCTATGTTCTTCTCGAGCCGAAACTCAAAACAGACGTCAGTGAAGCTATACAATAATAAATATTCTGATAATAGTAACTACTACTTAATCATCAAACGATAGAGAATATAATCACGCAATAACATATTATGGTAAAATGAAATGATTAATGAATTATAAATAATACATACATACCCATACTTAAATGTTCATCGTATCTACTCTAATAGTTAATGATTATCATTCTTATTATATTATTGACCTAAGATAATCGGTAAAATTTAATCCTTTAACTTCACAGTAATGTACTAATGTTATACTAATGATAACGAGACAAAATCTATACTAATTAACAGTAAATAATCGACATAATGATAATAAACTTCCAAATACTATCTTAAAAGCCATTAAAACCAACAGTAAATGACATACCAAGGAGAAAAGCGAAAAGAAAATCTGAATCAATTCACGAGATTCTTCCACTGTATAAAATAACTATCTATAAATATTGCGGCCACACGTAAATATTCATGGCACAATTAGCCAATATTAGAGGAAAGGAATGATAGCCAAATAAACGAAGATAAAACAGCATCCCCACACTATACGGCTTATCGTCTCGAGAGCCTCAGATTCGCAGTCCCCTAGCTTCTCGCGTACTCCCTGGAAATCTCGGTCACCCTCAATGCTGCGTATATCTCTGATAGAACTGCCCCATCCACCAGAGCGACACGGGTCGCCGCTGGTACCTTGCGATCGAGGGCGCTGCCGAAGTCTGAGCGCACTGACCGGTGGGAAGTAAATCTCCGGCCGCGTGGTTTGGGTTTCGAGTCGGGGATATACACTAACCACATGGGTCGTCATTGTCGCCTGGGTCAGACTCAGGAGCTTTCTTGCTGCAAGTCCTGATCTCTCTATTTTGTTTAATAAAAAGGGAAGAAATAGTAAAGGGAAGAATCACGAAGGAGGGGATCAATATGCACCCGAAGTATACACGCGCAAATAGGGAGTCCCTCAGTTCCTGACTGAGGAAAGAAAAAAATCTTTTCAATTGTTCATTTTCATCCTTCAAAGTTGCTGCTCAAGCATCTTGAGATGAACAGGGAGGCTCGGACTACAGAGTCACACGTGAGAAAGGGGTTTCAAGAGAATGACAGGGAAAGGGGAAAGCGAAAGAAGATTAGAGAGAACTGTTCGAGTCAAGATCAGTGTGTGTCAGTGCTTAAGTACTCCGCTACACACATCACTACACTTACCCATTCGCATCCTCTCCGTTTTCACGCTATCACAAAAGTACTCGCTGAACGCCAATAGAACATTCGCTATCGTTCGTATATACGTGAATCGGTTTCCATTCCAAGAGCTCTGTATCTTGGTATCTCGATTCAATAATTCCAATCAACTGAAATGTAATAACCTCTCCAAATAGTGGGCCTCGCCACCTCTACTTTGCAGGGTCAGTCTGCTTAACTCCCTGTAGATCTCGAAGCCTATCCTTCGAGAGGTTATGTATTTATCATTACACAATGCGGGTAGGGCGTGCCCATATTTCATTCTATCTCTCTCTCTCTCTTCTCCTCTCTCATCTCTCTCCTCTCTCTTTCTCATCTTTCTTCTCTCCTCTCTCTTTCTCTCTTCTCTCTTTTCTCCTCTTTTCTCTTCCTCTCTCTCTCCTCCCCTACCTCCACCCTCCAACTGTTCCTTCGGCTGACCTGTCAGTCACGTGTATCGCGCTCTGCACAACGAAAACCCTAGAGTAACGGGTTTTTTTTGAAAAAGGATGTTCCTTAGGATTTGATCCAAAGACATAAATCTGATAAACCAGAATATCCTATTATATCATACATACGATACATACATTACATACATATAATATACATATAGTATATATATATATATAAACCTATCATACTCATTACTCCATATATATAGCTAATATTATAAATATATACATACATACATTACACACACACACACACACACACACACACACTACACACACACCACACACCCTACACACACACACACACACACAACACACATATAATCATAATAATATATTAGATAAA